CAGTCACCCGACAGAGTCTACACATGTTGATGAATCATCTAAGCTACAGGTTTGTTTGTTTTATTAAATAGGAATGTTTTAGTTTTAATTGATGATTTAAAGTAATAACCAAAAGTATGTAAAATAATCAATATGCGTGAGAGCGTGATGAGGTAAGTTTAAGAAAGCAGACGAGGCTTTGGTGACCGCGCTACTATTCAATTTTAATTCACATACTCGAATGTATAAATTACAAAAAATTATTTTTTTTGTCCGTACGCCTTTAATTTTTAGGTTTATTTTCAACTTTTTAATTCTGTTGTACAGTTTTTGTGACGAATAGAAGCCAAAAAGTCGTAAGAATAACGAAAACTAGACGAGTGAATCTCAAAATGCTGTAATTATTGTTTTACTATGCTTAGTCTTCACTAAAACAGCCTTACCGTTAAGGACGTTCGTTACAGTTACACAGTTAGAGGAAAAATGTAGAGAGAGCAGTGAGGGGGGAGCGAGTATGCGGCAGCGCCATCACCTGTTTTGCATTCACTTGTATATCTGTATATTGACGTCTGACATTTTTAAATTTAGTTGCAAAAACAATTTAAAGATTTCTCTGAAAAATGTTTATAATATTAGTATAACGGTATTGCGTCATGCGAAAAATTGGAAAAATTTTACATACCATTTTCTCGTAAATTTCGTTTGTATGTGACTCTTCAATAATGTGACGAGTTAAATTAAAGTTTTTTCAACATTAAAAATCCAAAAATGGTGTTGTGAAATGGTCTTAAATATTACTTGTGACTTTTTGACATTATTATGAGCATCCTGTTAAAATTTCAGAAAGATGCAACATCACGATGTTATTTTTTATATTTCCTACAATAGATTTTCATGTTAGTAGTGAGTACTGAAAAACTTGTAACAGTATTATAAGAAGCAAATTTTGACTTGCAAAGTTATATAATCGTTTTTAAACGTCGTGTTCTTTATTTAGTACCTAGTAGACTTTTACGTACGAAAACATTAATTTGCAGACGTGATGTTAAGTTAAAAAAGACTAGTTGTGATATTGTTACGTTGGCGTGAAGTATTATTTGAGTCTTAGCCTGCGCTCACTAACTCGGGATTTTTACGAGGGATGTAGGTGAGACACAGGGCTAGAAAACTATGGTGATTTCGTGGAAAAGTATTTTTCCGCCCTCGGGTGGTTTTGGGAGGGTGGTACTTTCTCGGGCGAAAAAGCAGTTTTCCGGAACTCGTTCGAAAAGTCTCCTTTACGAACCTCGTTACGTCCCTCGACTTCGGCTCGGGCCGCAAACCTCTTGGTTCGCAAACAGAGACTTTTCAAACTTGTAGGAAAACTACTATTTTCCTCGTATTTCAACTTGGCTGTTGTTGACCTTGTTGACCGGAGCGAAGAAGCGCTTTGAAGCGAGCAAGCAAGGGTTTTAATTGTTTGGAGAAGCAAAGGAGTTACTACTATCTTTCCTGAGCCACAGTGCATACTCTAACGTCTTAGGTGGAGACAAAAGTTATATACATCTAAACACTCACGATACGTCTAATGTAACCATTGCTATTCAGAGTAGTAGTGCACACTCTAGCGTTAACGAGAAGCTGCGGTATATTATAATGCACGATGTAGAGGCTATCCCTTCTATTTTCAATAGCGGAGCATATTTCCGAGTTTGTGCTTACATATGGTATAGGGAAAAGAGAAAAGCTAGAAAGTTAAAGTTTTTCAAAGAACTTACTTTTATTCAGAGCTCTAAGGCATAACACAAACTAAATCAGCGTGAAGTGGTAGAAGCGAATCATACTTACTGCGTCTTCGTTAAGGTATAATAAAATTCACGTGTAGAAGATCACGAGACAGTAGAGACGAACTCTAACTAACTAGTCGACCGTTCGAGGGAAAAATAAATTCTTGCCTCATGGTGAACTGTGAGATAGCAGAGACGGACTCTTTAACACTGCTTCTTTACCTGAAAACAAAGAAAGGTGCCGATGCAGCGTTATCAAATCTCCATCAGGTATGTCACCTTTTGTTCCTCTTACACTTTGGATTTCTTATCCTAAAAAAAATGGTTTTCCCGTTCTACGGGGATAATCATTACCTAACACAGAAGCAAATATCTTTAACTATTTTTTTATTCAATCACTAACACTAATACACAGTACCTCTGTATACAATAGACTACACAACGCTTCACATGGTCCTTTGGACCGCACTGCAGCGACTTCGACTCGCAACATGCGAGCTGCGACCGCACATCCACCATCCACTATAGCGTACTATTCTGTTCTTCAATATGAAACATATATATGTTATTTGCTTGTTTGCCTCATTGTCAACTGTTACTAATGCATCTCACTCAGATTTTACTAACTGTGATACTATATATTATGTAAACTTATATCTACTTATCTATTTACTTATTTATTTACTTTATCAAGTTTTACTATGAATTAGACTGGGAGTTCGTTGCAAGTGGCTCCTACTATATTGAGATATGTAATAGGCATAACAAGTCGAGCTACAAGGAGTGACTAGCTCTTAGCTCCGTATTAGATAAATTCAATTTAATTATCTCTCTCTCTCTCTCTCTCTCTCTCTCGTCCTCTCTGCTATTTATACCCACACACGACAAACAATGCGAACCATGGCGGCACTTCCAAGCAGGCACCTTGTGGTCTCTCGTACACTTCGTCTCGTCAACCCCTCAAAATCGGTTCAGTAGTTTTTGCGGTTACCGATTACAACGATTTTAGCGACTTAGCTTTACATATTAGTAAGACTATCATACGTATTATTACAGAAGTATAGTTATAATTTTGTTTGAAAGCCAATGTTAGGAAAAACGCATGATTGAAGTAAACAATATTAGTTATTTTATGTTGTTTTTTCTGCGACTATGTAATAATAAAAATGTTACTAATTACTCCAAATTAAAAGTTTTTAATGCACGTAATAGAATGTATTATTTCAAAATTGCCATCATGTACTTTCGTTAAAAAGTGAGATATGTACAAATTTAATTCAAATTTAAATATAGTATTTAGAGGATACAAAGATGGATGAACAAAGCAACAGTGCTGAATATAAGTCGACGGTAATGTTAAGACCTGAAGCAGAGTCAACAATAAAATGCATGGCTTGCAATAGTTATGGATGTAGCGATATAAAATATGACATTCATGTCACAGGTTGGTAAATTTCAACAAACTATCTCCATCCAGTTTTTAGTTTAATGAAAATTTATTGTCATAAGATATTTTTTAATGTTAATTTTTTAAATTCAAGATGGAATTTCTGATAAGGCATATGGAATTATAAGGCCAAAAATGAAGTTTCATGTAGGTCAAAATATTTCATTAGANAAGCAAGGGTTTTAATTGTTTGGAGAAGCAAAGGAGTTACTACTATCTTTCCTGAGCCACAGTGCATACTCTAACGTCTTAGGTGGAGACAAAAGTTATATACATCTAAACACTCACGATACGTCTAATGTAACCATTGCTATTCAGAGTAGTAGTGCACACTCTAGCGTTAACGAGAAGCTGCGGTATATTATAATGCACGATGTAGAGGCTATCCCTTCTATTTTCAATAGCGGAGCATATTTCCGAGTTTGTGCTTACATATGGTATAGGGAAAAGAGAAAAGATAGAAAGTTAACGTTTTTTAAAGAACTTACTTTTATTCAGAGCTCTAAGGCATAACACAAACTAAATCAGCGTGAAGTGGTAGAAGCGAATCATACTTACTGCGTCTTCGTTAAGGTATAATAAAATTCACGTGTAGAAGATCACGAGACAGTAGAGACGAACTCTAACTAACTAGTCGACCGTTCGAGGGAAAAATAAATTCTTGCCTCATGGTGAACTGTGAGATAGCAGAGACGGACTCTTTAACACTGCTTCTTTACCTGAAAACAAAGAAAGGTGCCGATGCAGCGTTATCAAATCTCCATCAGGTATGTCACCTTTTGTTCCTCTTACACTTTGGATTTCTTATCCTAAAAAAAATGGTTTTCCCGTTCTACGGGGATAATCATTACCTAACACAGAAGCAAATATCTTTAACTATTTTTTTATTCAATCACTAACACTAATACACAGTACCTCTGTATACAATAGACTACACAACGCTTCACATGGTCCTTTGGACCGCACTGCAGCGACTTCGACTCGCAACATGCGAGCTGCGACCGCACATCCACCATCCACTATAGCGTACTATTCTGTTCTTCAATATGAAACATATATATGTTATTTGCTTGTTTGCCTCATTGTCAACTGTTACTAATGCATCTCACTCAGATTTTACTAACTGTGATACTATATATTATGTAAACTTATATCTACTTATCTATTTACTTATTTATTTACTTTATCAAGTTTTACTATGAATTAGACTGGGAGTTCGTTGCAAGTGGCTCCTACTATATTGAGATATGTAATAGGCATAACAAGTCGAGCTACAAGGAGTGACTAGCTCTTAGCTCCGTATTAGATAAATTCAATTTAATTATCTCTCTCTCTCTCTCTCTCTCTCTCTCGTCCTCTCTGCTATTTATACCCACACACGACAAACAATGCGAACCATGGCGGCACTTCCAAGCAGGCACCTTGTGGTCTCTCGTACACTTCGTCTCGTCAACCCCTCAAAATCGGTTCAGTAGTTTTTGCGGTTACCGATTACAACGATTTTAGCGACTTAGCTTTACATATTAGTAAGACTATCATACGTATTATTACAGAAGTATAGTTATAATTTTGTTTGAAAGCCAATGTTAGGAAAAACGCATGATTGAAGTAAACAATATTAGTTATTTTATGTTGTTTTTTCTGCGACTATGTAATAATAAAAATGTTACTAATTACTCCAAATTAAAAGTTTTTAATGCACGTAATAGAATGTATTATTTCAAAATTGCCATCATGTACTTTCGTTAAAAAGTGAGATATGTACAAATTTAATTCAAATTTAAATATAGTATTTAGAGGATACAAAGATGGATGAACAAAGCAACAGTGCTGAATATAAGTCGACGGTAATGTTAAGACCTGAAGCAGAGTCAACAATAAAATGCATGGCTTGCAATAGTTATGGATGTAGCGATATAAAATATGACATTCATGTCACAGGTTGGTAAATTTCAACAAACTATCTCCATCCAGTTTTTAGTTTAATGAAAATTTATTGTCATAAGATATTTTTTAATGTTAATTTTTTAAATTCAAGATGGAATTTCTAATAAGGCATATGGAATTATAAGGCCAAAAATGAAGTTTCTTGTAGGTCAAAATATTTCATTAGTATGTTTTGCTGTCATTCGTGAATTTTTCAAGGTAAAATGGTATTATGATGAACCAGAAAACGTTTTAAATTCTAGTTAGTTCTATACTAAAGTTATAAAGGAACTTATTAAAAGATTAAGTGTAGCTTAGTTCGTCTGAGCTTGAATCATTTAGATCTTATAATGTTTCAGAAAAAATTCACGTCTTGTATAAGAAAACTAACTACAGTTACCGTGCCATCTTGTCGATTAAAAATTTGAGCCGTTCAGATGAAAAGAATTATTACTGTTCATTTATCGGTGCCAAAATCATCGATGAAGAAATATTTCCACTTGAGGTCAATGGTATGCACAAAAAAATTTTATTTCGATGTGATTGCACGGCAGATAATTTTTTTGACAAATAAATCACTATTTATGTTTATTTTTGAAGACTTTTCATTCTTAGTTCCAGCTTACTTTGTTCATGGAAACATAAATAACCTTTCAATAACACGATATGCAATAGATCCAGAGAATCCGGTCTATTTATTATGTCATTTCGAAGGAATTCCAGCACCTACTATTACGTGGTTTAAAGACGGCACATCTTTATCGTCATCGAAACAGTTTAGTTTAGAGGATAGAAATCAAAAGTTAATTATACGATATCTTTTGGAACGTGACAGTGGTAATTATTCATGTGTTGCAGAGAATGGCTTTGAGCCAGTAAAGAAAACTCAAACAATAGTTGTAAAAGGTAACAATTATAGATGTACATAACCGAACTATATTTCTGGAGAAAACTGATTACTGATTCCTTACTTTTATTAAGAGTACTATTTTCCTACAAAAAGAGATATTAAGTGACATTTACAACAAAATAAATTTATGACATTATTGATATAAGGGTATTTTTATACGTTACTTTATTACGAAAAACTTTGTGAAGAAAATGAAAGTTTGAATTCTATGTTATTGTATAGTTTTGAATAAAGTCGTTTATATTTTCTGCTGCTGAATCGAATTCATATAACAAAAAATTGTAAAATTTTTGCAATGACACCCTTTTTAGTATTGTTTTTTAAGTTAAAAATTTCATCTCTACTATGTATTAAAAACAATTAGTTGTAGACGATTTTTCTAATCATGAAACTATTTCCCTAAATACTTCAAAGAAAAAAGTCGTTTATATCTTTTGCTGCTGAATCGAATTCATATAACAAAAAATTGTAAAATTTATGCAATGACACCTTTTTAAGTATTGTTTTTTAAGTTAAAAATTTCATCTCTACCATGTATTAAAAACAATTAGTTGTAGACGATTTTTCTAATCATGAAACTATTTCCCTAAATACTTCAAAGAAAAAGTAGTCTTAGTAAAGTAACTCGTTTTGACTTCAGGAAATCGAGAATTTAACATTTGGATTGGGATAAAGGTGTGGCTAATAACAATTCTTACTTTTTTTTCGTTATACATTTATTTAAAAACTCAACATATGAAGGTAATTATAAAATTGCGATTATTTCTCAAACACGTACGTCTTACGACTAAAATACGCCATTAGTAAATATTTTTATTCTCCAATCAACAATAATTTTAAGTTTGAAGAAAAAAAAAAATCGGAAGCTGGCTTTACGCATTTTCAAGAAGGAGCAGTTGATTTAATGAACCCAGATTTAACCGTAGACGAGCAGGCAGAACTTCTTGCTTACGACATTAGATGGGAGTTTCCTATTGAGAAATTAAAATTAGGTAAGAAATTATAAATTTCTACTCCTGCTGCCAAAAGATTATAAAAATTAGCATTCTAGTGATTAATAATAACATAAAACGTCCAATTCATTTAATTAAAGATAAGCAATTAGGAAGTGGGGCTTTTGGAGTTGTGTATAAAGCAGAGGCCTATAGAATTCTCCCTAACGAGTCGGTCACAACGGTAGCTGTCAAAACTATTCGCAAAAATGCAGACTCAATGTATTTAAGTGCACTGGCAAAGGAGCTTAAAATTATGGTTTATTTAGGACAACACTTAAATGTGATCAATCTTCTGGGCGCTTGTACCAAAAATATAGCCAAACGTAATAATTTGCGAATAATTGTTTGAAATATCATGTGAAAGTACTTATTTAATAAAAATAAAATTATGTTGTAGGTGAACTTTTGGTGATTATTGAGCTTTGTAGATTTGGAAATCTTCAAAGCTATCTCGTGCGTCATCAAAAAAATTTTATTAACCAAATTGAACCAACTACAGGTAAAATCGACACTTCTATGGGAAAAAATTTAAAGAGGTAACAATTTTACTGCTTGAACTTTTTATTAAAATTTCCAAGCTACGGAATGTGTTATTGACAAAAATTATTTTTGATTTTAATAAAGCGTGATCCTATCAGTCCCTTAAGTGCTAGCAGATGGAATCGCGTAAAACGTATCACGTATCGCATAAAATTATAAGATCAGGTAAAGTTAGGTGAGGTACGCTTTCTGCAAAAAAATTTGTCATCGTGCACATGGTAGTAAAAATTTGCGCGTAAGTGTTCACAGCTAGTATTTGGTTGGCAAGACACATGCTATCTCTCTCGCACTTATGTCAAAAATTAAGTTACGTGCGTATTTTTTTACTCATGTGCACGATGGTAAATTTTTTTGCGTAAAGCGTAAATAAAGTACGCAACCTGTAAATACAGTCAGTAGCTAATGTCTACAATAACAATTAAAGCGTCATTTGTATAATTCATTAGATTTTTGACACCAATATAAACAAATCCTAAGACCTTTAAAAAATTATAGAAAGTCTTACGGACCTTTGCAGTAACCCAGTTTCGCAAAGAAAAATTGAGAAGTGTAATGATTAAACTGTATGAAATGTATTTATGGCAATCCATATGGACACCTTAACATAAGAGGTCACAAAAATTCTTTGAGGTAGCTCCCTTTTCTACGTATAATAATGAAAAGTTTAACGGTAACTTTTACAAAACTCAAGTACAGCCAAGTGTAGCCGAGGCAGCCAAAGTCGAGGTGTAGTCGACCACTCACACCTACATAGATATATATGTACACCTAGCCGAAGTGCATTTTTATGGTCTTTAATATACGGGGTATCTGTTATACAGTCAAAAATAAATTATCTTATTGCCCTTGACAAAAGTCATCGGAGGTAGAAGAGAAGGCTACTGAGGATATTCAATGGAAACGTTCGTGTTTTAAAATTAGAGTGTATACGTGACAAAAAATAAGGAGCAAAAAAAATTTTCACTTTCTTTCTTAGAAAATATCTCGAGAAAACGACTTACTACATACACTTTCCAGCGTGGCATTAGAAACAAGAAAAATTATTCTATAAGAACCTTGTAATAGCTTAGCTCAGATATTTCAATTTTCTTTAGGAAATTCATAAGTCACTCATTGTCTAATGATATTCAATAAGAGCTTAAGTTGAAAATTGAGACTTCAAGTGAAAACTTCTTGACAGGTTTGAAGTAGGAAAAAAAATAGCATTGAATTTAGTGGATCAAATCTACGAATTAAAACATATATTATCACGTATAATTTAACAAAGAAGGTATCTTAAATAACCTCTTGTTCTAGTACCGTCCTGCTGACATTGTTATATGTTATTGGACTGGAACCAAAAGACAATGAGATATTTTTTTATTACTATTTATATCTCGTACAAAAACAATAACTAATAGCATAATAAATTTTTTACCAGACCTTACATTTAACATGAACTAGTTCATACAGACCATGTGTCACATAACAAATCACTACATCCACACTTACTTTCACATAATATCTTCACTTAATACCTGTATTTAGATGAACCATAAAACAAATAGTGCATAATTATAAAAAGATACTAATACAATAAATGATTGAGTTAAAAAAATACGAAGTAATTTATGATTTCTAACAATTAGTAATGTTTACCCTGTATCCAAGAAATGATAAAATTTGATAGGTTGTTAACCACGTAGTTAGCTCTGGAACTTATTCAATACATCAAACAAAACACAAAACCTGTTTTTGTAACCTATAAATTGTAAATGTCACGAACAAAACAAATTTTTTTGGCCTACAGAAAAAGACACGAGATCTATGAAAGTTTATTTACCGCCTTGTCTGATAGCAGTCCAAACGATAAGCACACCATTCACTATTCAGAAACTCAGAAATTCAGCGGCCCAATTGAATCCAGTGATGATTTTATGGATGAAGACTCTGAGCCAGGTTGGCGTTCTAATTACGAAGGTGATTACGTAGAAGAAGACTTGTCGTTTCTTTGCACTGAGGATCTTTTGTTATGGGCTTATCAGGTGGCAAACGGCATGAAGTTTCTTTCAGAAAGAAAGGCAAGCACTTATCATGTGCATACATATACAAACTTATTGCTTACCTACTTATAATTACGCATTATCTAACTATAGTTTTATGATGCTAATTCTTTTTACAGGTGCTGCACTGTGACTTGGCTGCAAGAAATATACTGTTAGCAGATAACAACATCGTCAAGATCTGCGATTTCGGTTTAGCCAAGACATTGTACAAGGACGAAAACTATAAGAAGCAATGCGATGGGAAGTTACCCATAAGGTGGATGGCCATTGAGTCCATCAGAAACGGAGTCTTTTCTACTATGTCAGATGTGTGGTCATTTGGTGTAGTACTTTGGGAATTTTTCTCTCTTGCACAAATACCTTATTCAGGCGTAGGGTTTGAGGTGATGTATCAGAAATTAATTAGGGGATACAGAATGTCTAAGCCCACTTATGCCACCGATGACATGTAAATGAAATTTTTTATAATAAGTTCGTACTTGAAAAGCCGTTAAGTACTTAATTCAATTACTTCTTTTTAGATATAATATAATGCTCCATTGCTGGGAGGAAGAGCCGACATCCAGACCGTCGTTCACAATGTTGGTTGAAAGCATTGGAAAACTTTTACAAAATAATATTAAAACCCATTTTCTGAGAATTTATCATGAATACGAAAATTTTGANTATGCTCCATTGCTGGGAGGAAGAGCCGACATCCAGACCGTCGTTCACAATGTTGGTTGAAAGCATTGGAAAACTTTTACAAAATAATATTAAAACCCATTTTCTGAGAATTTATCATGAATACGAAAATTTTGATAAAGAATGCCAGTTGGAAAAAAAAGATGACAATCAAGCAACAGCATCATTGTCTTATGATATAACAATTCCGCTGAATCGGCGTAACTACGTTAATACTTTGCCTTAAATTACAAACATGTCATACATAAACGTGCAGTATACCATTACTGTAACTTATAATGCAAATGTTTCATTAGTTTCTCATAAAAATTTCAAGAGCAAGTGCATAAATCCAGAAGAAAGTAGTTGCTTAGTTAGAGTTTAATAAAATAAATATAATAAAATGCAATCATACTCAACTTTGAAACTATTTGATTTTTCATTACTAAAAACACTTTTCTTAGCAAAACTAATTTTTAAGAGTGTGCTGACAATATACCTAAACTGACCACTGATGTATCTGTCAGAGGTGTTGAGAGTAGGTAGGGGCAAACGCACCATCTACCGTACACCCGTAAATTCACTTTATTTTGTTACCATGATTGTAAGACAGTTTGATACTAAATATTGACTCAGTAAATTTTTAATTGTTATTTAGGATCTCAAGAGAGCACCGAAATTTTTTTTGAGGTGTTAGAGCTTGTTAAAATGATTTTATAATAAAAATATGAAATAGAAGTCATGTTCCTATTTCCGTACCGCCGTTCACATTACCGGACCCCATCTACCGTACGCGTTCCTATTACCAGACCCCATTCACCGTTTGACGACAGATTTGACTATAACCTCACATTTTTGTTTACAACTGCATACCGATCTCAGTGCCTGTTGCATAAATCACGATGAAAATGTCAAAAGCAGAGAAAGATGGAAAATCGAAAACTAAGGAAAAAACGCCAAGTCAATTATGCAATTCAAAAAGATAGCAGACAGAAGGATCAAAAAAGAAAAACAATTACAGAGAGAGAAACAAAGATTAGAAGAAGAAAATAAAAAATTATGAAAGCAAGAAGAGAAGTTAAAAGCCATTGTAAACAGAAAAAAGTCTGTTGAGGAAGATTAAATGGATGAGACAGAAGCTATATATTTACAAAAGCAGATTGAAGAACTTCAAAAGAAACAATTAAAACTAAACCAAAAAATAAACAAAGATTCATCGTGAGTAATTTTTGTAATGCAAGCTATTCAAGTTATTTAAGTTATTCCCTCACAGCAGTCTCTGAAATCTTTAAAGATCCTACTTCAGATTTTTTAATGAGTAGAAAATGTATTTGTCTTTTTGTGGCGATAAAAATGCAGGATTTACGGTCCAAGACTTTGTTGCTCTGGAGCCGTACCATATAATTTTTATTAGCTTCGCGGGCCTATGTTATAACATAGGCCGATGTACAGAAAAATAGTTATATGGTACGGACCCAGGTAATAAAGTTGTGAAATATGAGAAAAAAAAGTTTTTTTAATATAAATTTTTTGTGGGTTTAGCCACAGATTATTTTATGGCATAAAGAACGCACGGTACTTTTCAGCATAATTATTTTCTTTAATTTTTACACATTATTTGACTAAATATACTATATGGATTCCGAAAAAATATGTTTTCAATAAGAAGATTTTTGTTCTAAAATGTATCAGGAATATGTGTAAAATTTCTAACTTAAAATGTTTCACGTTACATGTCAACACACTACGGTGTTTTATTTAGTAAGTCTCGAGCGAAGCCGAGACGGGGGGCTGCTAGTTACGTATGATTTTGCAAGGGAGCTACCTTAAGTAACCTTTCGTTCTGGTACTGTATTGTTGACGATGTGATTCGATATTGGACTGGAACTGAAAGACAATGTGATGTTTTTTCATTAATATCAATATCTCGTATAAAAACAATTACTTAAAATATAATGATCCATTAACCTAAATTAAACATTTAACATTGACCGTATTACAGACTATGTTTTACATAACAAATTACTTAATCCTTACTATCACATAATGTCTTTACTTCATAACTGGATTTACATGAATTATAAAACAAACTGTGCATAATAACGAATATGATACTGGTAATATAGATGATATACTTGAAAAAAATACGAAATACTTTATCATTTCTAACAATTAGAAATGTTCACCCTGTGTCCAAGAAAGAATAAAATTTGGTAGGTTGTTAACTACGTAGTTAGTTATGGAACTAATTAAATACATCAAACAAAACACAAAACCTGTTTTTGTAACCTATAAATTGTAAATGTCACGAACAAAACAAATTTTTTTGGCCTATAGAACAAGACCTGAAATCTATGAAAATTTAACTACGGCCTTGGCTGACAGCAGTTCAAACGATAAGCACACCATTCACTAGTCAGTAACTCCGAAATTCAGCGGCCTAACTGAATTCAGTGATGATTTGATGAAAGAAAGGCAAGCACTTATAATGTGCATACATATTAAAATTTTATGGTTACGGATTTATAACTACGCATTAGCTAACTGTGGTTTTATGATGCTAATTTTTTTTACACGTGCTGCACTGTGACTTGGCTGCAAGAAATATACTGTTAGCAGAGAACAACATCGTCAAGATCTGCGATTTCAGTTTAGCCAAGACATTGTACAAAGACGAAAACTATAAGAAGCAATGCGATGGGAAGTTACCCATAAGGTGGATGGCCATTGAGGCCATCAGAGACGGAGTTTTCTCCACTATGTCAGATGTGTGGTCATTTGGTGTAGTAGTCTGGGAATTTTTCTCTCTTGTACAAATACCTTATTAAGGCGTAGAGTTTGAGGTGATGTTTCAGAAATTAATTAGGGGATACAGAATATCTCAGCTCACTTATGCCACCGATGACATGTAAATGAAATTTGTTATTATTAGTTTGTATTTGAAAAGCCGTTAAGTACTTAATTCGTTTACTTTTTTTCTTAGACATAATATTATGCTCCATTGCTGGGAGGAAGAGCCAACATCCAGACCGTCTTTTACAATGCTGGTTGAAATGATTGGAAAACTTTTACAAAATAATATCAAAACCCATTTTCTGAGAATTTATCATGAATACGAAAATTTTGACAAAGAACGCCAGTTGCAAAAGAAAGATGACAATCAAGCAACATCATCATTGTCTGAAGATATGACAATTTCGCTTAACCGGCGTAGGGGTAAGTGTACCTATCTCCGTGGCACGTACTGAAAATTCCAACTTAAATGCACCATAAAAAATGGTATACTAAAATTTTTTGGAATATTTTTTTTTTAAATCTTACATAATCTCTTACGGAATATTTACAAAAATTTTATGAAGCTAAAACTGCAGTAGAATATTTTTAAAACGAATAAAAACGGTATGCTAGTATTACCGTGGTTGTGTACCTATTACCGTGTACGTATTACCGCGGATAAGTATAGGGTTACGTTTACGTACGCTCACCGCGGAAATACGTACACAAGCAGTTAATGAGCGCGTTGTACCAAATACCGTGGAAAATGATTATTTACTCAAAATATGCTCAAATATTTCTGTTTGAATTGCATCTACATTAACGTCGTTTTAGATTATTAAAATTGAAAAATTATTTTATATGAAACATTTCTTATTTTAAGCAAGTAATCATCAGTTTTTCAAAATCCACGGTAATAAGGCAGAGCACGGAGATAGGTACACTTACCCCTAACTTTATTAATACGTTGCCTTAAATTGCAAGTTTGCCCTACATTATACCATTACTGTAACTCATAATGCAAATGTTTCATTATTGTCCGATAAGAGTTTCAAGAGCAAGTACATAAATCCAGAAGAAAGTAGTTACTTTTGTAAAACAAATGTAATACGGTGCAATCATGCTTAAATTCAAAACTATTTGATTTTTGATCATTAAAGACACTTTTTTTAGCAAAACTAAACTTTAAGAGTGTGCTGACAATATACGTAAACTGATTACTGCTGTATCTGAAACATGTGATCAGATGAGGAATTCGTAATGAATGAAAAGTTTCATAAATGTATGTAGGTATAATTCACTACTAGCACAGGGTAGTAGAAAAATATTGCATACGATGATTTCAAACATGCGTTTGTGCTGATAAGAAATAGTTTTGATCTCAATTAATTAACAATATTTTGAAATTAGGTGTCTGAAAATAAAACTCCCAGGCGCAGTATTACTTTTATTGACAATTTGTGTATAATAGTTACTTATTATATTTCAGTTTAAGTTTTGTTTTTTTCATTAACTAAATCCATACCAAATTTTAACAACGTTTAAAGAGACACCACAATTTATTGTTGCGTGTAAAACTAACAAAGGTTCATGCTTACGTCATATATCTGGTATATAATGCAAAAGCTCTAAATAAATATTTTATAAAGTTTTTGAAGCCATCAAATGAAAATTTTTACGGAACCTATCAAATTTACAATCGCTAAGGTTTCAAGTAATCGAATAATACAATAGTCGCAGCTCAGTAACTGGACGACGCTCGTAGAAACAACGAAGAAGAAGAGACTTATAACAAGGGCAAGGAACAAACAGCGGATGTTAAGTTCTCCTTTAACATTGCCTCGTAAACTATCTTAATTTCTATTCAGCAAATCACAATCATACAGCTCTAAACAGTGCGTGACTAGCAATATTCAATGTCTAGTGTCTCTACAGACTTTGTGTATGGTTCTCCGATTATATGATTGATGACTGCCATAAAACTACACATCGAGTAATTTCAAGACATTCCTTACATTTATTTACACTGTTTATGGCTTAGGCCAAAGTCGGGCTCCAACTTTCTAAGCCTCAAATATTTGACCTACGACTTAGACACACCCTATATTGTTAGCTATGTCAAGCTCTCAAAGATGGAAGGACCCACTGACTCATTTACGGTGGGCAAAACTACTCACTCTTCTTGTCATAGTGTCAGGTACTTATAAGATTATCTTTTTTACATCTAAATACATAACTATCACTCTTATTTTCCTCGCGGTATTGTTTACAAATTTATCTCAAAATCA